TTGTGTGTGCCGAAAAAAGAGAAAACCATTGCGGGTTTTCAAAAAAAATATGAAGGCTAGGTTAAAGTTTGCTAAAGATCATAAACACTGGACAGAAAAAGACTGAAGAAGGGTGATATGGTCGGATGAAACCAAAATTAATAGATACTGCTCTGACGGAAAGTCCTGGTTCTGGAAATGGACTGTCGAGAGCCTTAAACCATCTCATATCAAGCAGACGGTCAAGCATGGTGAAGGATCTGTCATGCTATGGGGCTGTTTTACTGCACATGGACCCGGACCCATTCATAAAATTGTTTGTACTATGGATCAATATATGTATAAAAACATTCTATCAAGTAATTTGCAAGGTGTGGTCGCAAAAATGCCAATACCAAACAATGAAGTCATTTTCCAACAGGATAATGACCCCAAGCATACAGCGAAATCCCTTAAACAATGGCTTGCCAATCAAAAATTTAAAACTATGGATTGGCCAGCTCAAAGTCCCGACCTGAACCCAATAGAANTTTTTCTTCAAAATATATATATATTTTTTTTGATAATTCTCTGTATTATTCTTAAAATATTGTATTCTTTGACCAATAATACAATTAAAATAAATAAGTATTGTTTATACTAAATTTATTTATAATTGGCTTATACATTTTTTTAATGAATTTTTACAATTAAGTTTCCTTGACAATTAGATGTAAATGTTGATTTCATCCACATTTAAGTTCACTTCGTTTTTTCCCGTGAAAAATAAACTATCGTCTTGTGTAATTATTAAGATTTATTTAATTAGTTATTGATATGGCAAGTGAAAAAAATATATTTGGTCAAACAAATGAATCAAACTTACATAAGGTCATACGTAGAGTTGAAGAAATATGGAATCGTCGTTTCATGCATCCTAATTGTGTTTTAAATAATACACATAAAGGACAAATATCAAAAAATTCAACTAAAGATGGAAGAATTATCTGTAAACACTATTAAGATTAATAATTAAACTAACTATTTCGAATAGAGAAAAAGTTTTTTAATATAAAATATAAGAAAAATTAATAATAAGTTCTCTTATTCATATATAACAATAATTCAGTCGCTTTACTTTAATTTAACTATTTTAATATTAAAAACCTTTTTCGAAATTGATTATTTAATTAATAATTATTAAAATTATATTCAATTTGCAGCAATTATTAATAAAAATATTTATCCTATAAAAAATTCCATTATTCCAAAAAAATGCACGTATCGAAAAACGAATAAAAATGATAAAATTATTCCAGAAAAATTGGTAACTATAATTATATTAATATATTTATTCGATTTAGCTATGTTATTGGGGTTTGTCTGATTCAAAAATATAAAATAAACTATCAACCCCCTTAATATAAATGCGGTAACATAATGTTTAATATTATTCTGCTATTTTTTCTATTAGATTTTTATGGGAAATTCAATTTTTATCGAAGATAATAATATAATATTAAGTATAGTTTATTTGTTTATTTAAATATCTCTTTGGTTACCTAGAATATGATGCAGCAAAGAGAATTCGGAACACTTTTTCAGAATGAAAAATCTGAAAAATATAAAAATGAAATTTTAAATTCAACAGAAAAAAAAAATATAGCAATTTCAAAAGACAATCCGCTATTAATATCAGCTGATTTGTTAGAAAAGGTATATTTTATTATGCTTTATTTCAATAAAAAGATTTTAGGGTATACCCTAAACCATTTTTTGGACTTAAAGCAGATTTTTTAAATAAATTTATCATATAATTAAATATATTTTTATGATCCGTTAAGAGTTTTCATAAGAAAAATTTGGAACGCAAAAAATCCGAAATAAAAAAACAACTTTTTGAGATATCTTCTAATACTACTGCTCGACCAAATTTAAAAAGAAATTCATCCGAAGAAGATGAAAAAGTCATAAAAAGTATACAACTTTTAAAATATAATTCATTTTTAAAAAATATGAAGTTTTGATTTTTGAAACAAATATGTAATATTTTTAAACATAAATTATTTTAGAGCCAAAAGTTAGTTCTAATCCTTTGACCTTAAATACGCCGAATGACGTAAATTTACTTGCTCTGTCCACTATTGAAGTAATAAAAGTACCAGAGAAAGAAAAAGGTAATTAGTTATTTAATCTATTTATTTTATGTAAAATTAAATAAAAAAAGATTATTTATTAAACATAATTAATTATAATAATACGAGTTAAATTAATATAACTTCTGCAGAGGCGTGTAATTAAGGGGGTCCATGGACGTTTTAAACAAAAGTAATTATACGTGTTTAATTTCATATTCCAAAACCTTAAATAAACCTAAATAATAGTAAACTGTTCAACAAAGTTTTTTATTAATTTTATGAAAAATGTTTAAATATGGTTACACTTGCAGAAGTAATGCAAAATCAGAACACAAAATCTCTTGATCAGTATAATGCACCTTCATTTAAATCGCCCACATCATGGTATACTTCAGACACAATTAATGAGTACATTAAAATGATAGTAAAACGGTCAGAAGGTGAAGTTTATGCAGTTGTCACTGATTTTATTGTAGCGTATCTTCGAGGAGGTTATCCAGCTGTAAGAAGATGGATAAAAAAAGATATTCACACAATAAAATTACTTTTTGTGCCCATGAATGTATATGGGAGTCATTGGATATTGACAGTGGTTAATATACCTGAAAAGACTGTGACATCATATGATAGTCTTAAGTCGTATAAGGGTCCTTATCCAATGGTATTAAAAAATTTCTTAATTGAATGGGAGATGGACAAAAAAGGAAAAGCTTCTACATGGACATTACAAATAGGCGAGACATCTCGCCAAACCAATGGACATGATTGTGGGCCATTTACTGTTGAGCTGGCAGAAAAAATGTCTCGAGGAGATACAACACCAATAAATGCAAATTTTATGCCTTTTATAAGATTAAGACACAAAAATGAAATTATTGCTGGCGAGCTATTCAATTAATATTTTTATGAATGAAATTTTATTTTTGTATTTTATATCAATTTTCTTAATATTCACTATAAATTGAAATTTTTATTTGTATACCACCAAACATTTTTTTACTTTTTCTATGTTTAATTGTTGTTTTGTTATTTTATTTTAATCTTATTTTTCTTTGTAACATTTCATTTAAGAAATTCAAATTTAATATAAATTTATCTTAACTGAAATAATTTAATGTTCTTGTTATGTGAATATACAAATATTATAATATACAGTTATGGATACAATTAAGTTAAAAAGTCAGCCAATTATAAATTTTTAAATTAACAAGCGTATCTACTATCTTAACAACTTAATTTTAATTTTACTAAATGACGATTCATAAAGAATTTCATAACTTTTGTTTATTTTTTAAATACTATTTTAATTATAAAAAATTCTTTTCTGTATTTTTTATGAATGCGGTATATTGAATAGGGGTCACTAAACTTATTTGTTTATAATTCTTTAAACTGATAAACTATAAAATAAATTTAAAAATGAACAACAAGTTCAGAATATTTCCGTTGTCATTATATTTTTGCTACGGGTATTTTTGTTATCTAAATGACCCAATGAAATCCAAATAATTTCTAGAAATCTCTAATAAAATGTGAATAAATACGTGTCGTCGAATCCTATCAAATTATCTTCAATTTTGTTATTTATTTAAAATACCATTTATTTTATAGTAAATAAATATAGTATATTATAAATAAAGTTAATACTAATATATTAGGCATTTTTTTTAAGTCGTAGGGTGTCCAGACATGGAGGACATCCCCCCAAAATACGCCACTGATTATTGATGTACCTTCTGGTGTTCCACAAGGTAGACATCTTTCTCCCTTGTTATTTAAATTATTTATCAATGATATTAAAAGTTCACTTGTTAACTGCCGTTTCCTTCTCATTGCTGATGACCTCAAACTATTTTTAAAAATTAATTCATTTAGGAACTGCTTATTAATACAGGACGATCTTAATTATCTGGTAAATTGGGCTAAAAATCGTGAGTGGAGCTGAATATTTCAAAATGTTATTCAATGTCGTTTTATTGAACTCGTGATCATATAAATTACTCGTATAGGGTTAATGATAATATATTGTTATCTGAAATTTTTGGAGGCAAAACCAAATTAAATTAATAACCATCATACTTAAATTTTAAGGTTTTGATAACCCAATTAATCGTTTTATGTAGTCATCTGATTTTTAGCTATCACAGATTAGTAGAAAACTAGGTGGCCACCATTATCCACAGACTATCTTTCCCCAATCCCACTATAACATTTAAGTTAACAAAGTTCAGCTATTTTAATTAAATTAATTAATTAGTTAATGAAATTGATAATATACTTACCACGTTAAACTTTTCTCTAAATAAGTTTCTCTTTCCCTCTATGAACACATTTAAATTTAAAAAAATAATATACAAGAGTATTAGGCGANCATGAATACATTTAAATTTAAAAAAATAATATACAAGAGTATTAGGCGAAAAATTTAATTTTGCGAGATACCATTTACAATAAACATGGAGTACAAATTTAGTTATTGAATTAAAATAACTTGGGATATTTTTGTGACTCGAAATAATTACAACATCGGCATACAATGAAACAAGTTAATTGTTTCACTAACTTGTAACACCATTTTAACATATACCTATTTGAAATTTAATGCTTAAGTACGCAATTTACTTACATGCATCAAAGAACGACCCAATATAACCCCGCGAAGACTTATGAAAATACGCGGGTCGGTGACATTCTGTCGACCCGACCACAATTGCGGTAATATGTATTGACAGGCGGTCGGTTCGTAACACGGTAACTATTGTATTGATAACGTTGGTCGTATACGATATCAAAAACCGACCCAGGTCGGGTATATAGACACACCGATTATTTTTTTACATTGTTTCATTATTACCAAACCTGATAGTATTAATTATTTATTGTGATTCTTTTGCAAATTGTTTTCAATTATTCATACAACTAAATTAAATGTTGCGTTAAACTTATAACAAATTAATTTATTGGTTAAATAATTTATTATATTAACATAAAATTAATTATTTATTAATTTTACTCTATTAAATAATTTGTTAGGATGTTTACATTGCATATCCTTCAGTTATTGTATTAACATTTGACTCAACAAACAGACTTAACAAATTCATATAGTTAAAAGTATATAAATACATTTCATTCAATAGTGTTTAATTGTTCTAGCATGAGGTAAGTTAATATTTAATTTACTTAATTTGTTTATTAATTTGTAACCATTTTTTTATTATCTATAGTATAAATGGATAAGTTAAATAAATTTATTCGACCTATAGGATTACGAAGACGAACAAGATCAGCCAGTAGTGTTGGTAATTTAACTCATTGCTTTTATTTTTTGTATACAATATATATATAAACTTAGATATATTTAAATATATACAAATTTTATACTTTATGTCATAGCTTATCCTGGAAGTAAGGCTCAAAGTGATGATTCAAGTAGTAATTCTAAAGACGTAGGAATTTCAAGTATTTATCATGTGAGTATTGTAATTATAGAGATAAATATTTGTCCCTAATTTTCATTTAAAAATGAATGTTAAACATTAGAGTGACTCTGATGATATAAGTGGTGCACCTCAATCGGTTCCATTTGCTTTGCTATCAAAACATTTAATGAATTTGGAATCTGATTCTGTCAATGAAAATTTAACTCATGGTAAACCATTTACCAGAAGGTATAATAGTGCCACTCTTAAAGTTTATTATAAACATTTTAGAGTTAAATATATATATTGTTTTAGTTATTTTAATTAATATAATTCATTTTAAGGAAACGGAAATTTAAAAAAATGATAGTTGATCCAGATGTAAAATTTACTTCTCGTATTGCTACTGGATGTTCTCATAGCAGTATTGAAAAGAAAAGAACTACACGTCATTCTGCTAGTATGCCTAGGTATATAATTTAAAACTTACTAATTTTTCCCTTCTTTTTTAATTTTAAAATTAAATTAATAAAATAAANATCTTTTTTAATTTCAAAATTAAATTAATAAAATAAATGTTGTAGAAATTGTGGTTCATTAATATTAGCTATTGGCAAAAGGAAGCGTAGTAATCGTGAAGTTCTTACTAGTAGTAGTGTTCAAGGTACTTCTAGCACTAANTGAAGTTCTTACTAGTAGTAGTGTTCAAGGTACTTCTAGCACTAAAATAATGGATGTTGATATTGCAAGTAGTTCAAGTAGTCTAAGTTCATCTGAAAGTGAAACTGGAATATTTACTAATGATGAAGGTAGAGAAGGTAAGCTTAGTGTTAGTAGTAATTAGAACATAGCTACTGTATCAATGTAATAGTAATTTTCAAAAGTATATTTTTCATTAAACATTTTAGGTGATGATGAACAAAGTGATTGGGTTGGTAATGCATATGGAGCTGGTGGTATAACTGATGATGATACTGAACCTATGAAAATAGATTGTCAAAGACTTTTATCTGTAAGCTTACAAAATAATGTTATGACGGATGGACGAGGACCTGGTCGACTTCCATTTTGGACAAGAAAAGTATTTTTCCAATTATTTTAAATTATATATATATTTATATTTTTTGTTGTGATATTTAGGCTGGAGATAGAGAAATCAGAGGCGGACTTCGTAGAGTAAGATCTGTTAAACCAAGTTTTTCTGTTTTGACTTCTGCTAATGAAAAGGTTTCTCAATTCTTACGAGATCCAGCCCAATCAGAATTAAGGTAAAAAATATAATGCAACC